AGCAGAGGGGCCGCTGCCAGTAATACGTGACAAGGGATTTTCGAGCAATTTCCTGGAAACCAACAGTGCTGTGCTTTATTATTTCACGGGCAGATATTGCTATGAGCTACAAATAGATATATTATGATGCAGTGTACTCTATTTATACCTGATGTGTATACAATAAAACACTCCAGCACCTTCCCAATTCCATTTGTGAGCTCGAGCAAGGAAAAATAGGGAGACAATTTGCCACAGCCTTATGTTAAGCCTAATATAACTTTGGAAATCAGCTATTGCCCCAAATAACATTTTATTACATGCATCAAAAAGATTTAACTTGCTAAGGGTCACATAAGTGTACTCAGACTGTGCTTCAAAGCTGAGTGACTCTGGAGATAGATGGTTTATTGTACATCTCATTCTTTCCCCCACGCCCAAGATAGCTAGCAACGAAGAGCTACCAGGGATCATTAAAAAAGGATTGCTCATTTTATGTAGCTTGCATATCTGAAATGGTAGTTAGCTAAAATTCCAGAGGCAAGAATGTTTGTAACACAATGTCAAGAGATAAACAAAAGTGAGTTAAATCAGGAAGACAGGCTCGGTAGCAATTAGTCTAATGTAATATCATTTTTAAAGTAAAGAAGCTACATTTTCTAATTTTCACTAAAAGCCCTAGGTGCTGAATGGGTTATAATAAATGCATGCAATAAAAACCAGGTACACTCATCTTATAAAGCAGCCTATTAACCAGACTGCTAGAGCTGCAGAATCTAGTACACAGTAAACAATGCTTTTCCTGTTAGAATAATGATGCATAGGTTACTCTTCTATACCATTTAGCACTTGGGGACCACATCCATTTACCAAAATAATACCAAATTAGTACTGTAAATATTGAAATCAGACCTTTCAGGCTAACCAGTGGCCTCATTTTCTCTTCAATCTGCTCTTAATCTCAATTCATCAATAACAGTACCTTATTATCGGACTTTGACAGCAAGCTAAAGCTTTTGATAAATTATACATCTCAAGCCAGATTTAAAATTTGAAGCTCAAGTGCTAATTATCTGTACAGGCCTAGTTAATAACGAGATTTCTTGTTAAGTATCTGATCACAGCATGGGCATCATTTGTCAAGATCCTCAAGTCTACCTCAGAGACCGGCTCTTCGAATCCTCCCTTGCCTACCATATGTAAAATTGGGATCTTTGTTTCTATAATAACCTTTTATTAGGAAGCTGACATAATGATTAAGTTCACTGTAGACACACACAATGAATTAGACAATTACCCTTGCTGCTTTAAACCACTCAGACTCCTAGCAAGACAAAATAATTAATATTGAATTTTAATTTGATGTGTTCCACATTTAAGCCCCAATTTGCAAAGTACACCTGGAAAGCTGCCGCTGTTACCTTGCAGTTTGTGCTGATGAAATAAAGGCTCCTGCCGTTTGAATATAAAAGCACAGAAGGCACGATGCACTGTGATCACTTCTCAGTGGAGCACAGAATTTTCTAGCATTAATGGGAAAGGTAATTACCTAGGTCTAACTTTATAGCCTTTTCTCTAATGAAACTATAATCTCCCAGGCCTATACACTTTAAGCATTTGCATGATTTTAATGATTTCAGTGCCATAACTGTTGGTATACCCTGTCTTTTTCAAATGAAAAGTCTTGAACACAAAGATGTTAATTATATTTCCCAGCTACTATGGCACGCAGTAAGGCCGATCCAAAGAGAAACAGCCAAGGGCAGCATTCCTCATCTGGTTCCCCCCAAAAGATGAGCCCCAAGTAAATACATTCATTTTTTTCTTCTTCTTCTTCTTTCTTCCCCCAAGCTTATCCTATAATCAGAGGACACAAAGGATGAAGTCCTTTCGATTTTGCTTCCATGCAGAATGGGTACAACATAAAACCATGAAATATTGTCACTCTCTAACCAAATCTCCTTTCCAAAAATGATTAGCCTTCCTAGCTGGGAACATTTCAGTCTCATGGGAGGATTTGAGAATTAATGCAATTTTTCCTTCATAAAAGGGTTGGAATTTGGGACAGGACTGGTAAAGTCCTTCTCCCGTATAATGCTGAACCAAGACTGAGATGCTAGACTAAACTGAAATGTCTGTTTCAAGACCTACCAAGCCAATTCATGTTATTACAGGAACAGATAAAGATTCACAATCTATTATTATGGACTGCAAAAGCCCTATTTGTCAAACAACCGGCCCAGCATGAGTGGGTGGCCAAGTCCAGGAGCTGTGGATGCTCATCTCTCCCTCTCCCCTGCTTCCTTCACCATGGACTTGCTGCTGCACCCGAAGTTCAGTCGGAGCCAGTGGATGATCTGCTTTGAGGTAGAGAGGAACCAAGGAGAAGTGGCCTTTGGGGCTTTGGGGGTCTACCAGAGCCAGGTCTTATCTCCCAGCTGCACACAAGCCCAGAGATTCTTGTACTTGTTTTGTCCTCAGTGCCAATCCCAGCCATCCTCTACAGCACCTGACTATGACAAGGTCGTGGAGAAATGATCTCTGTGCTTCAGTGTGATTCTTTGATAAGAAATGAAGAAGAGCTGTTTCTTGATAGCTTGTAAAATAGACTAAACACTCACACACAAATCCCTAAAAACCTAGAGCTATTTTCCCAAACTATAAATATGGTCAAAATAAAGGGAACAAAATGATAATCCTGAGATAAATATCCAGGAAAAAGAGACAAATTCTCAGAGATCTCAAGTTATGAAATTAGCAACAGTCCATCTCTTTTTACTGTTTCTTTTTGAGCAAGTTAGGTAACCTCTCTGGGCCTCCATTACATCAGAAGTAAAATTACAAGTGTCTACTTCCTGGATTTAATATGGGGATTAAATTAGATGATGTACATTATACCTTATGACAGTTTGGGGACTTAATAAGTGCTTGATAAATATTTGCAGCTACTAATAGTGTTTTAGTTGTCAGAAGGAGTTGCAGGCTATTTTTCAGTAGCCCCTAAATGAATCATTTATTTTCTAGGGTCTGGCTACCGCACAATTTAAAGGTTACAAAAGCCTCATTCCTAGACATAACAAGTGGCCAATCAAAAATATTTCTATCCCATAGGCAGGATTTGCAACCAGAGCCACAAGTTCAAATAAACACAATTGATTGTTTTAAGAAGGAAAGAAGGGAGGGAGAGACAGGAAAGAAAGGTTCTTTCTTACAAAGCAAAAGGACTACTTTTTCCACCCTCTTTTGGTAATGGAGATTGAAACCAGGGCCTTTGGGACTTCTCTCTGAACTGCATCTCCTGCCCTCCTTTTTATTTCTATTTTTATTAGTATATATTTTCCATACATAATGATCACATTCATCATGGGGAATTTGTACATAATACAGTATATCTTAATCCTTTTTTCCCATATCCCTCCCCTCCCTTCAATTCTTTTTCCCCTCTCCACTTACAAAAGCTGTTTCCATTTTTGCCTTCCATTCTCTGTTTTTAAAACATCTTTTCCCTTCCTTCACCTCCTCTTCCCCCACCCCACCTTGTTCCCATTCTCATGTGAACAGGTTCTTCCTCAAATATCTATCCTCCATTCTGCTCCTTATTTACACTTTGGATTCCTCACATAAAAGAATGTGATCTTTAAACTTGTGTATTTATTCAATTAAGATTGTGGTCTTGAGATGGTCTAAAAATGTCTCAAGCACTTGCCAAGCCGCCCATGCTGTGCTTGAACTTGCTTCAGCCTCCCTGAGTGCTGGGATTGCAGGCATATGCCACCACACCTGCCTTATCATGTGTTTCTTTTAAAGAGGGAGACAAAGTGAGATTTTATATACCTAGAAGGTAAGGCTACCTGACCATGAAACCAGAGGCTGGAGCTACTGGGGTGGCTAAGGCATGCCAACAGCTACCAGACATTAAAAGAGAAAAAGAGCCACTGTCCCTTAGAGCCAGAGGGAGCACTGCCCTGCTGAAAGCCCATTTGCGGTCACTGGTGCTGACTTCAGACTTCTGGACTCCAGACTGTGAAGGAACAAGATTCTGTTGTTTTAAACCATTAAGTGTATGGTAATTTATCACAGCAACTTTGGGAACTGATAAAGCTATACAAATTGGTGCATGTATGGCTGGGAGAATCCTCTAGCTAACAGGTGGGTTTGAGCTAAGTGTCTGAGGGTTAAGAGGGAGCAGCTGAGAGGTGGGGAGAAACACCAGGAAGAGGGGCTGCTGTACACACTGGGAGGAGCCGAGCTCTAGAAATGGCCAGGAGGGAGAAGTCCAGTTCCAGCCCTCTCTGGCTCCTGGATGAGCACAAAGAGTCCTCTCCCCTGGAGGCACCTTTAGGGGAAGATGAATCTAGAAACTCAACATCTGGAGTCTAGAACTTTATTTATTCATTTATTTATCCATTCATTGTGGTAGATATGTGGCATTGTGGGTATAAGTTTTCTACTGTTCATCCACTGATTTCTTTAGAATAACAGTACATTTTTAATAAACAAGGTCAACTTGCTGGGGATTTAGCTCAGTGGTTCCACCGCCTGCCTGGCAAGTGCAAGGTCCAGAGTTGGATACCAAAATAAATAAATAAGTAAATAAATAAATTTTCACTGTCAACCTTAGATTTTCAGACATAGCATATTATATATTCCCACATTGCCAATAGGGATAAATCCTGGTTTTAGAAGGCCTGAATATTATGCATTTTGATAAGCCAGAAATTAAAAAACAAAGCTACAACCAAAAATTGAACATGGCCATAGATACTAATTTGGAACAAAAACATAAATAAAATAAAATAAAATAAAGCTATCTAATACCACAAACATCACAAAATCTAGAAAAATGTATTTCCATTTAATATGTCTATTTTTTCTACATTTTTGGCTGCATATTCTGAAAACATTTACAATAGTCATCTTAGATTAAGGAATATAAAACAACAACATGTATTTTTAAATTCTACTTCATTGTATGGCAGTATGATCATTGGTTAAATCAAATTACTCATACAACATACACTGTCTTGGTAAACATGTCATCTGTTTCTTAACTTTATTTCTCCTCTTTGCTAAATCAGTGGCAATTTTGTGTGCTTTTCATCTGAAACCACCAAAGGAACAATATACATCAATATTGTAAAGATACAATGTAGCCTTTAGGATATATAAAACATAAGCCCTCACCTATAGACCTATACCACTGGTAATGAAGCAACAGCTTTTTCCATGCCAGACTGGAATTCTGGTAAATTCATCTTCACTTGATTCACAGCTAAAAAGGAAATATGGGTGCATTTATAATTGTATATACTGCATTACCAAAAATACACCTGACGGGGAACTTTTCCCTTCACCTAGGCTTTAAAGAGCACCAAACCTTCTATTCAAAAATTTTCACAACTGAGTTTTTTGGAGAAAGGTTCAAATTATGTTCCTCCTCCATCGCCCATGTGTGATCTGTGTCAGGAACATAGAACATGTTCATATCATGAGCCAACTTCTGGCTCTGGACAAGGATTTACAAAGGAGAATGGACCAGCCCAGCAAGGAGCAGGAGCAATCCTAGAAGCCATTCTCTCACGAGAAGCCCTGAAAATAATGAGCTCTACACAGAAGTGATTACAATCAACATAAACATATTCCTCTAAACCCCAAATAAATGTATTCCTAACTGAACATCCCTTTGCCAGAACCCAGAATCCCTGTAGCTCTTTCAATACCACCCAATTCAAGGAAAATTGCTATGGGGAGGAAAACAGAGGAGGAGGAGACAATATCCCATGTTGGGGGCAAATGTTTCAAAACCACAACCATATGACCACATTGCTAAATTTCACTTGGTTTCACAATAAATCTACTGCTGGTTTCAGGGTTTACAACATGCTCCAAGAGGCTACCTTCTTAGCAACAGTAATTTGCAAAAACTAAATCATTCAGATCTGAGGTCTGACCTGTTTCATCAGAACCTGAAACACTTCTTTTAAGTCCTATCCCCTGCCAAAAAACCCACCTTTGTTTGCTATCCTGAAAATTGCCAGGCCTGGACATACTGGTGTGAGTAGATTCTTGAAGCAGATCCTACAAATGCAGATGACTGTCAAGGCCTTGTCACTCTGATGGCATTAGTAATGTAATCTGACATGCAGTGTCCTTCCACGTTCATTTTGCATCTTTATGGAAGTCAGTATGTCTTAAAAACAAAAAATGAATATATCAGCTTTTACTTTGCATAGACAGAAATCAATATCAATAGATAAGATCAATAGATATGAAATGCATAGTTGGGAAGTGCAGCAGGTGTAAACCAGATGTGCAAACTGGCAGGAACAGATCATAGGCTTTGCAAACCACCCAACTCTTGTCAGTTTTTGTCTTATCCATGGGAAAGTCAACATGTGCTTACAAAATGGTGCTTCAGTGCTGGAAAAGCAGACAAATCAGAACTGCTGTTTCCCAGGTCCACAGGAGCATGCTGGGTCAGATCAAAAGACATGTTTCCAGTTAATTTATAAACCAGTGTCTTCAGCCTCAGACTGCATTAAAATACTCTGGGGTCCAAATGAGGAAAATAGCAGAAATGGTGAGGATGGCAGAGAATAGCCTATCCCCTTCCTCACAAGGAGGTCACAGCCCCAGCGTCTTCCATTCCTACTCACCACCCTTAGCCTGCAGGCTACGAAGTAGCAACCACTACTTCCCCACTTTGCTATCTCTGATTTCTTCAGATCATGGACCAACCAGAGTCAGAGGGCAGCTGTCCCAGGGTATAAGCACCCCCGCAAAGGCCTCATGCCTGGTACAAGTTCTGAGCAGCTGCTTTTAGAAAACTCCCGTAAGAGAATGAACTCCTATTCCTGCTCTGATGGTAAGAAATTCAGTCAGCCTAGTTAGCATTTGGTGCAGTAATTAATCTCCCAAAGGCTAAAAGACATGGCATTAAATCTGTGTTCAGGTTATAGAGCTACACTCATGTGGAAAAGTTCAATGTCCTTACCTTAACACTTACTCTAAAAGCTGTCCTGATACATCAAAAGATTTAATTAATTTTGATCTTTTATTAGCTAAAGGGGAAAAATGAAGATAAAACAGGAATATGGTTTAAAAAGAAATTTCGACTCAACTACATTACCCAAATTATCCTATGAAAACATTGCAAGGACTACCTTCATCGGGGGAGAGGATTTTAAAATGTTTATTATAAATTGTACAAAGCTAGGAAGGTAGGTCCAGGTTGGGGCTTTTGGGAAATATGTGTTAATACATATTTTCGTTAATCAGAGGGGGATATATGTAAAAGAATGGTGGCGCATTTGACACATGCTTCAGGAAAGGAATCTGCCTTCACTGAGTGCTTTTTGTGTACTTTCCCACTCCTTGAAAAATTGCACCAAGAAGCATGTGCACTCACCATTTTAAACTGAACCCCAAAGAATCGAAGGCCCTGAAGCTGGTAATACTAAGCCAGAATTCAAACCCAGATCCATCTGTGTGCAATACTCTGTCTAACCATGTTACCTTCCTAGAGCTCTCGGCAGCCCCATTAGTCCAACTCAACCTATACTACCAACCCCATCCTCTGGGTCCAGTCCTTGAACTTCCTTCTCATGAATAAAGCACTTAGCCTATAAGTAGGGCTAAGATTTTAAGTTTTGAAGCCCTAAGAGATCGTCCTCCATTTCCATGAAATTGCAAATGCCTAAACGTTTTTGTGAAGGGAATTTAGGATAAAGTAAAATCCTGTAAATGGGTTGTTTCTGTTTACCTGGTCCCCCCGCACCCACACACACACTCACACACCCAAAGTCTCTCCCAACCTGTGACGACGTAGTCTAGGCTGGGCCAATCACTGTCCTAGTCCCCCTCCACAGCCACTGGTCCATAGGCTAGGACACTGTCAGACTTTGAAGCTCAATTCAGAAATGGCAGCCTGAGTCACCTGCCCTCCCCAAACCACTCCTAGCATCCTGGGATACCCACTCTACACTGTTGCATGGGTGAGGAAGAACTTTTATTTTGTTAGAGCCATTGTATTTTAGAGTCTATTTGTTATGGAAGCCTACACTAAAGAAGAATAGCCATCAATTTTCTCTCTTACTCCTAGATTCTCCCCTTTAGAATGCTCCCAGGTTTCTAGAAATTTTATCAGAGCTTCTTTCAAAACCATGTGAGTGGAGCATTACTCAGCCATAAAGAGAGATAACTTGAGTCATTTGTAGGAAAATGGATGGCTCTTGAGTTGATAATGTTAAGCAAAATAAATTAGGCACAGGAAGTTAATTATTGCATTGCTTCTCTTATATGATAATTTCAAAATTTATAAATAATTTAAAGATTGAATTAAAGGAGAAATGCTAGGAAACAGCAAGGCAGACAGTTTGGAGATGAAGAAGAAGATCTGGGGAAGGAGGGATAGAAGACAGAAGAAGGGGATCAAAGTAAAAATGAAAAAAGAAATAAAATCTTTGTGAATCTACAGCTGTACTAAATAATGTGCAAGTGGCCACTTTGACAAATAATAAAAATATATTTACCAAAACTATATAAAAATAATATAATCATTGTCCTTTCTTCTACCAAATTCTTTGCAAGAATCTGGTATAAGTTTAGATTTACCGAAGAGCAATCTAACCTCAGGAAAAAAATAATAAGTATTTTTTTTATTTAATAGTGACCCCATAATGGAAAAAGATGAAAAATATTGCCCTTACATATTCCTCATAAAGCCATAGATAGTATCTCTCCTTCCATTTTCACTTTTCCACTGGAGAAAGTCATCAGACTGTCCATTGAATTCATTGAAAAGCTGAGGCAGAGTTTGGATTCCCATTCTATAAGCAATGAGTTTAGAAACTCTAATTTGACTTGTCTTTAGTGATTTTGGCCCTGTCCTCACTTGCTGTATGCTTTCCTGTGGTAAATGAGCCAGAATAAGTGAAGCCCAGTTACAGCATCTAAAATCTCCTTGCAGGTAAACTTAATGGACACTTTGTGCATATCAGTAGTTTAAAACTTGAACTACTTTGGATCTCAGGACTGACTGCAAAGCCCATTTTACCCAGAGTGCAATGGTTTCCCAAAAGGCTTCTGAGCCAGCAGCGTCAGCATCCTTGGAGGCTCCTTCAAGAGGCCAGGCTCAGGCTCCACCCAGACCGGCTGACTCAGAACTCTGGAGCAAGATCTACACTGCCATGTGAGTGCTTTGTCCTCATGCCCCACAGCAATGGGCCTCTGTGATCAAAGACTCCCAGGTCTGCCTTTCTCCAGTAAAAGACACTAAGGCTCCTTGGAAAAATGACTGACTCTAGGACTGGGACCAATGAACCTGGGGCTTCTGGTAATTGGTAATGAAAGAAAATAAGGGCGTGTGCACAACAAAATGAGGCTATAGAAAAGATTCGGAATAGCCAACCGAATGAGCTCCCAGTGGCCAACGCTTGAACAATTTGAGAAAGAAAATAAATATTTATGGGACTATAACTCAAAGTATAAAACAAACATTCATAAATCTATACTGGTATAAACATATATATGTAT